ATAACAAAATAGTTAAGAAATTACATGATAATTTCGAAAATGAAAATTGTTTCTCTTTTGTCTACAACAATTTTAAAAAACTGTCGTCTATAAAAATCATCACTAGATTCAAGAACAAAATTCATTGTGTAATGTTCAATTCAATAGAAGCCAATATGAATTTATTTTTAATTCAATTTTATAAGAAGACATGCTACACACCCATACAGATTATTCTACTATGAGGTCATGTGAATGAAATTGACCTTATAAATGATAAAGTGCAGTATATACTTTTCTCTGAAGGACGTACGCATTTTAATTCTTCTATTCTTCATTTTTAATAGTGAACAGAAAATAAAAATGTTCATGTTAAAGAGAACGAACATTATGAATAATTAAACAGTTATATTTAAGTTGTAAAATATATTTGTTATTTCATTATAAAATCTGATCGTTGTTCAATTGATTTATTTTCTTTGGTTTACTTTTTTTTTATAAACCACATTTAAAATTTTTATACTAATGAAATATTTTAGTTATTATTTTAAAAAGTTTTAATAAAAATTATTATATTCAATAAAATTTCAAGATTCTAAAATTGTTAATATTGAGTTAAATACATAGTTGAATTTTATATCGAAGTGTTCATATTTAAATAGATCAGATTGATTGATTTATTAAATAAATCTACTCAAATATCACTATATAGTTTATATTCTAAAGGATACATATAATATGAGTAATCAATGTTTATCTATAATTATTTTTTGACATATCAAAAAATGTCTACGAGCTTATTCTATTAATCAAATCATCGAATAATGTTCAATCGTTTCATATAAAGGTCAAAATAATGACTTTTATATTCACAATTTATCTTATACAAGCCGAGAATCGAAATAATTCATCTATTGACTTATGAAATCTTTCTTTGATTATTTTTTTTCTCTTGTTCATTCAATGGTTTATATAGGATTATAATCAAAGGTGTACATAAATGTTGAAGTGTATGAATTTCCGGTTGAAAAAAATTTTATATGAATATTAAAGTAATATGATTTTATTGAGTAAAAGAATAATAATTTTTTAATAAATAGTTTCATGATATATATATATATGTACCCATCCCTCTAATCTAAATAAGTGTGAAAGGAATCCTGAATGACACATTCTTGTATGTGTTACATCATCAAAGGTGACAATACATATCTTCCTTCCTCTTCTTTTTTTTTGCCATCGTCTTTAAGTACAATATAACTCAAATGTCAAGTTTAGAGAATGGAAAGAATATATACTTTAATGTACATATAGACATGTAAATTGATTGTCAATGTGACAAGACCACTCACTATGGACGATCGGACAGACTCTCGTTATATGTACTAGAAACCAATTGTCCAGATGAGTTGTTAATGAAAAAATCATTCTTAATTTAACATGATGGTTAGGCTCTTTTTACTCGTCTTTTTTTCTTTCCTTCTTTCTTTTTGATGTGGTTCTATTGTGTAATTCTTCTTGCTGGATTAGACCTGATAGATAGAGAGATAGATGATGTGTCGATGTGTTCATGTATGTGGATATAATATGTTTATACTTATATGATAGTGCTCGGTCAGTCGAAAGACAAGACATCATCATTATATATATATATCTTATAGAGTTAGTGTAGCTCTGGTATGTACCTTTATATTCTTTTTTTTTATTCGTGGCACGCGATAGAATAGAATTGAGTAGACCTTCATATCAATGATAGAAGAATAAGTAAAATAAAGTTAGTAGGTATCTTTTTAAATAATCACGATTACTTTGAAATCTATTTGTTACGTCATTTTGTTATTTTGTTGATTCTCGATATTGATAAGAAAAGACATGGTGAAGCACTTACAGGTTACCTTTAATATAGCAAGACAGAGAGAGAGAAAAAAACCATTCTGTCAAACTTATATATATATATATATATTGTCGGATATTCTTTCAAATAATAACGAATTCTTAGTTCTTAACTTGAATTAAGCATATAAACAGTAGTATGATTTATATCCATCTCGTTGTAATATTGTATATATTACACCAGTTGTAAGCAATTAATTTCTCTTCCTCTTTCTCTTCGTTCTTCGTCTTGCGCATATTTTCTTTATTCAATGTCGTTAAACCATATCAAAGACATATGATTCCGATCAATATTAACGAATAAGACGACGTAAAAAGACAATGTAAATATAAATAAACATGAGTGAGTTGTTTTTTTTTTGTTTTGTTTTTTGAATGACAATGTGTGTACGTATAGATTTCTTTTTCTGAATATTTCTGAGATTTTAGAATTAGTTTCTTGTCTGAATAAATTATTAATCCATTGATTGTTGTTCTTTGTCTCTGTAGAAATCAATTTCTCTATGTGCAAGTATATACTTGAACAATCAATAAGTAGAACAGATAGAATAGTTGTTTGATGTAAGACTTCCACTTGAACATCGATTACAAAAAAATTAACATTCAATATATAATTCTTCGTACTTTTGTGTATGTCAGACAGGATAGAATTATCTCGTATTTAACACAACGGAAACGATGAATAGACATTCATACAAAAAGAAATGACAATAGCATCCATAAATTTCTCGAGAAAGAACATTCGTCTCCATCTGGTCATTTTTTCGTATTACCTAGTCGATCAAACTAAATAAAAATAGTAATTAATCATATTTATGATTCATCAATGTACGTCGTAGTCACATATTTTTCATTACAAAATGATGAAACATCATCAGACAATAGGCAAAATTTATTGAGCATAACCTATTCACTAGTGTAATTTAACCAAAACACTAAATGCCATTTTGTTTTCTTCTATTCAAAGTTACGTACGATTGGTATTATACTTTCTATATATAATCTCATCTCATAGATATCATTGAATGTATTATATGCATATCAATGAGAAAAAGAATGAATGAACACTTGAGTAGAAAAAGATAAACGACATCCAACTGTCTATGTGATGATGAATTTAGGCAAACGAATATTTGTATGATTATACACGCGCATACTTGACTATATTCTTCAATTAAAACAAACAAAACACTCATCGTTTTATCTTTATATTCTTTTGATATAGGTAATGGAATATTGTTCTATATCATTCAAATGAAGTATGAACCTTGATGGTCAACAAATAAATCGAGTCCTTGTGATCTCGTCATTAATATTCATTATAAATATAATATTTAGTATTCCATGTTATGGTTGGCATCAGACATTAACATTTACACAAAAAGTATCATATGATACGAGTAAGATTTAATAAATTATTTTCTTTTCAAATTAATCAAATCTAAAAAATTTAGATAGTCAAATGTCTCTTGTTTCGTCTGAAATGAAATTTTTTATATGGTATGATTCTTATGCTATTTATGGTGCACGTGAAAAACTTATTTTACTCAAACCTATTTTAAATACTTCATCAGTAAATTTATTAAATCGTTGTTTTTTTTGTTTAATTATCACATGAATGATTTAGATCGAAATCTTTTCATATAATTGGTCTATTGATGCAATAACAATGGAAGAATGTCGACAAGAATGGAATACAAAAGTATTTGAAAATAATAAAAACAAACTACTTTTTGTTTTAAGATTATCTTCACAAAAAAAAATTTTTTTTTTTATTTTTAAAGGAAAAATGTTATAATGATGTTGTACATGTTCGAATTTTACCTAATAGTACAATAATGGATGTTTATTGTACTTATGCTCATCGACCAATGGTTCGTTCATTTGATCTCCATACAATGTCATTTATTGACGAAAATACTCTTACACGTGATCCTCATCCTCCAATGGATTCTGAACGTTCTTATGTTATGTTAACTTTTAATAGAAGTCTAATAACAGCTGGTTATCAAGGCGATTATATTCCAACAATACGTACTACACAAGGAAAAACATTACTTTATGCATTAAGACAAAGTTAGTACAAGAAAAAAAACTAAGTTGTTATTACAATCCTTTGCAAGATAAAAAAAAAATGTGAAACACGATTAGGGCTCGACGGTTCCGAAGAAAATGGAACCGAACAATTTTTGCTGATAACTAAAGCGTAAGAGATAAATTCAAGTATATTTTTTGTTTAACAGCTCATTTTTTTTTCAAAAAATAACCTTCATCAACGAAAAAACAATTTGACTTTTTTCATAAACTTTTTTAACTTTTGTGAGGACTTTTTAACTTAATGTGTGTCTCGAGATTAGTGGAAGAAGAATAATTGATTGAATGCCGTTGGAGATGCGATAGATATTATACAAAAACGAGCGTTAGAAATATACCGAAATTACCGTAGCTCTCACTAAGAACGAGAGATAAAGGTAAAATTTCTTTGTATGCGTAACTAAGCATTCTCAATGTTGGCCACTAAGTTTCGGTTCAATATGACTTTCTCATTCTTTTTTTTTCTTATTTTATCTTTCGAAGAAATTGCGTTTTAAAAAAGAATAATAGACATATTATTCGATCATCAGTTCCAAAGATACTTTCTATGGACGGAAATTAAAATTACAGGTTTTTTTTTGTTTTTACTAACCGAAACTATCAGTCTCGACTGCTGTTGTAGAGCACAGGGAGATTGTTTTATTCTATCTATTTTGAGATATATTTCTTCACTGTTCCTTTAATCCCGCTAGAAATACAAGAAGGAAATAATTCATAGGTTGTAAAGAGACATTATTGATAAACGGTCTACAATCGTATATTAACAACGTCTGTAACAGTGTTTTATCCCGCGTGAGACTGATAGCCCTTGAAAGGTCTGTTTAGTCCTCTCGAAACTTTAAATCGCGCTCCGGAAGAAAAAATCTGAATTGCACGGAGTTGACTAAATTTTTTGCCGAAAATTCAGTTTTAACATAAGAACTCTTTTTTGAATTGTAGATTTTGTTCTCTGATATTTACTGTACAAATTGATGCATTATGATGATTCCAACGATGTCTTATCAAAATCTCTGAACATGAAAGAAAGTCGGAGTTAAATTTGACTTCGACTCTGTTTTATGTTTCGATTTTCCTACAAGATGCTGTCGGAATCTCCGAATTGTATCATTTTGTACAGTGAAAATATCACGAAACAAAATCTATAATTCCAAAAATTTCCTATGTTAAAACTAAATCTTCTGAAAAAAAAAATTTAATTAATTCCGTACAAGTCTCTGACTAACTTCTGTTACGATCTGTTTTCTTTTTTGTTTTAGATTCATATTTTGTTGGTGGATTTAAATATGATGGAAAAGCAGTTTTTGGTGTTATTGAAACATCTGAACGAACAGAAACTGTAAGAAACTATAGTCAATATGACTATTATTCTGTATACTTATCTAAATGAGGAATATATTTCATAGATAATTTTTTCTTTTGTATTTATTTAAAGAATCGTGTATCTCGATTAGTAATGGCTTGTGCTGATCGAACTGAAATAATTCGTAAAGCTACTTTGAATTGTTCAACAAATATATTTGAACAATCACGATCATTTGTCTTTCATATTTTAAGTAATATGAATTAAAAAATATTAAATTATTAAATATCATTCTTGTTTCTAGCTGCTTTAATTGATCCAATTCATACAATAAATGGTACAGTATTACTATTTGCGACATTTACTACAAATAAGTAAGAATATTATTAATATAAAAACAAAATATTTTGTTTTTTAATTAAATAAATTATTAGTTCATCAATAACTGCGTCAGCTGTTTGTTTATTTATTCTTGATAAACAATTTTATGATATATTTACTGGTTCATCAATAAAAAATAATCGAATAAATGAAATGAATGAATTAATTTTTAATTGTTCTCAAACAATACCATCAACTATTGATCGAGATATGGTTGAATCCGAACGACAATTTTTACCTTATTTATCTAATCCATTATTTATTGAAACAATGTCATATCATATATTTACAGCAATTAATGTTATTCAATATAAACCTAATTTTTATTGTTTAATTATTGGAACAAGTAAAATATTGTTATGATTCTTCTTTTTGTGTTATTGATTTTAATATATTTCATTCAGGTAATGGTCGTTTATTTACAGCATTTACTGATGCAACATTTAAAACGAATATATTTGAAGAATTAACATTACCAATAAGTATGAGTTATTCAGTCAAATCGATTACATATAAAAAAGTGTATGTATTTAATGTAATCCGTGATTTGAATAAAAACATAATAATTTATTTTTCTAAATTTAGTGATAATAATTCTTATGTGATTATTATAACAAATCATATTGGATATTTGACAATTAAATTAATATCATGTTATGATAATCATACAAAACTTTGTTTTGAATGTTGGATGAAAGATTGTTCAATACGAAAAATTGTCTTAACAGAGTATGTAAATTTATTTATCTTGAATAAAGATTAATTTTATTTGTTTTTTTTTTTCAGTAAAATTGATAGACATCAATGTATTTATGAAAATAGTATTCGATCAATATTAAATAATAATACGAATATATTCACTTTAGATATGGATAATTATTCTTCATCATTCGATTGGTCATTACTCAATCGAAATTCTGGTAAAATTTTTTTTTTGAAATTCTTCATTTTTAAATATCAGTTCGCTTTTCAGCTGTCCACTTCTGATTTCAATGGCTTTTTTGCCTATTGGATAGTATATAATATTCTAATAAAAACTCCAAAAGGATTTGGATTTGACTAAATTATCAAGTTTTTGTCCAGAGGCTTTAAGGTTTCGGAAAACTTCTATTTTCGAATTTTGATCTAAAACTTTATACATATATATTAAACTCAAATAGACTAACTTCTATAAAAAAAAATCACAAAGTCTCTTCAAGATATAGGCCCTTGTTCATGAATAGTTGATATAACATGTATTTTTTGAAAACTTCGTATACAGTTTTCAATCAGATTAGTTCATGGGGCAAGTTGTAATTTTTTTAGTATCTCGTATCCATAGATATGGAATATTCGAAACTCACTCATCTGTAAAAGCAAATTTTATTCCTGGATTTACATCTTCAGAAAGGAAATACTGGCTGTGAGGGAGACGGCAGCTTTTTGTTGAAAAAAAAACCAGTAAAATTTTCGATATTCCGAGAACGAAGGTCTAGAAAATCAAACTATTCTAGACGAACGTTTTTGGTGAGCTTTCGGTATAGGAGCCACATTTGTACGAAGAGAGAATTTTCGGATTAGATCTTACTAAAAATGTGAGATCTTACAGCGGAAATTCACTAACTCACTAAGGTCTACGAGATGCTTTAAGTTCTGGTTGGAAAGTGAACTGACACTTAGAAGTGGTTCTTCATAAGATATATCAATAGAATTGAACTTCATAATTAGATCATTTCATGAATTTAATTGAGAATAATTCATTCCAGTCCATATTCTCTTTTTTCTTTTTTTTTGATTTATTTTCCATATAGATGAAAAATCAAAAATGAAATTATTATTCTATATTGTTATTCCATTATCATTTGTTGTCTTTGTATTAACAATATTAATTATAATTCTTTTAACAAAATCAAATCATAAAATAAAACAAGGGCGATTTTATCCAACTGATTGTCGTAAAACACAAGATACATCATCGGCACATATTTTTTCACATACATATACAAATAATGCTATGTATAGAACTAATAATAAACAATTATTTTCTGAACGAAGAAATCAACATCATGTATTTCCTATTAGATCAGATTTATGTATACGTCAAATTCCTTCAAATCCTGTTTATTCAACAGTATCATCACAAAGTTTACCTTCATTAATATTACCATCACCACCACCACCACCACCAACTAATTCATCGAATCCATCAAAACATCTTTCAGCTCAACGTCTTTATAAAACTTATGTGTAATCATTGTATTTTTTTATTTGAATATACAGTCATATTTGTTTTCAATCATATGATCTTTATTTGAAAAGAATGATCTATCACTCCTAGAAAAACACTTTTTTGTTTATTTGGAACTTTATATATATATGTATCTGATTCAAGGTGCAATAACTTATCAAATTTCTTTATTCAATATTAAACAATTGAGATTTTCAATTGAAAAAAAATAATGAAATGTAATATAAAAAAGTTGCTTTTGAGTGTGATAACTCTTGATACATGACATGTATCTGTCTATATATTTCTGGCTGATGGACATATATATCAGTTGTTTAATGATGAGAATTTATCTGTTTCATTCTATGATTCATAGTTATATAATACAGCACATCTTTTATCTGTCTATATTCAGTACATATATACTATGACCGATTCATTCTTTATTAATCAATCGTTTGACCTATATATATATATATATTGGTTTTATTGACTTTTGAAAAAAATCAAATGGTTTGATTCAATGTTCACAATTCTCTTTTGATAGTCAAATACTTTAATAGAATCAAATATAAGTGCCAAAGCCGAAGGCAGAGTATACTTATTTTATCAAAATTATGAAGAATATTTATAGTCTGTGACAGTAATCAATAGGAGCAACTACTAATAAACAGTATAATCTGGATTGATGAAATAGAAAAATAAATTCAATGGACATCGACACATGTCAATAAAGTTCTGTATTTTTATATCGTAGAAATTTGAAATCGTATTAAACTATTAACATTGGATATGACACAATCAGAAACAATACTTTGGTTTGGTTTGTTTGAAGGCTCACTTAGACCGAAACCTAACTACAGTGCACGTCAAAAGTCTCGCACCATTTTTTTAGTTTGAGTCGTACATTTAAATTACACAACATTAATTTAATTCGACTAGATGCCTGTATAGTAGAGGTCAAGTACTATATATATACACACTTGTTCAATACGATAAAGCCTTGAATATGAAATACAATATTAAAAAAAAAAGAGACAAAATGATATTATTGTTACAAAGGATCCTGTGAGATTCATATATACTTACCATCTCTGATCATCCTATCTTCGATAGAAAAAAATTCGATTTTTCAATAATTTACTACAGTTTTTCACAAATGGTAAGGCTTCGTGTCTTCAATAGTGTCGACCATAGAAGATGTGACTAGACGTCAACAATTTGAGTATCTACGAGTCCAACAGTTAGAATCGTGATAAATCTGATGGAGTCAATTTAGCAATGCTAGTTTAGCATAGTGATGGAAGATTAAATTAATGTTGTATAGTTTAAACACACGACTCAAAACAAAACAAAAAAGTAGTGCAAGACTTTTGAGTTGTACATTGGAGTCTTTCTAACCAATCTATATGATCTTCATCTATCATTTTTCTTATCTTATTAAATAATCTTTTAAAGTTTTCTTTCATTTATTTCATAGAGATAAATGTCTAAAGAGTTGATAAAACCTATAAAAGTCCTGAAAGTCTAAAGAACGGAGAGAGAGAAAGAAAAAAAAAATGTTTAAGAACATCAATCACTATAACAATAAACACAAACATAAGGAAAAGAAAAAAAAGGTGCACACAAACACACATACAAGAATAAACTTATCTTTGGCTCGAAATCTCCAAAAAAAAAAGAAAACACAAATCAAAAAAATGAAATCCTAAAAATTAGGAAGAAGAAAAAAACAAACAAACAATCAGTAACACTAATAAGGACTAGAAAACTGAACATCAGTTTCTATGTCTATCAAACGAACACAAAAATCACATGCATCATTTTGCCTGTACATTAGATATACAAACGAATGGGCAAGTGAATGAAAAACACACATTCTTTTTTTGTGACATAATCAACAAACACAGTTAACTTAATGTATATATACAGTTTAATTTAAAAATTGTTGTTGTTATTTATACGATAAGAATTTTGTCTTGGAATAATACCATATAAATGATTAAATTCATTATCATTTAAAATATAACGTATATTATTATCATCATCAGAATCATCATCATGTCTTTCAGTTGAATTAATAACACGAATACAATTAGCACAATGACATTTTTTTAATACGGGACAAAATATTTCACCAGTTTCATCATACATTGAATGAGCTAAAAGAAAAGCAAAATTTAAATAAAAAATCTCATTAAAAAATAAATAAATAAATAAAACTTTTACAAGTATAAAGACATTCGGGCATATTATGACTTTTACAATGTCGACAAATTGTTTTTGGATATTGATATTGTTGATGTTGTTGTTGTTGTTGTTGATGTTGATGTTTTAAATGAAGTATATTATTAAATTGATGATAAGAATTTTGTGGATTTTCATCAGATGGTGATACACTACTTGCAGGTGACCATAGTGAATTTGAGAATGAAGATGATGATGAAATTGATGAGAATACAGTTGGTTTTCGATATGGTTCACCTGGACCATCACTTCAAAAAAAAAAATAATGATAAAGCAAATTTTGAAATGTTTTTTTTTTGTTCTCTTACTGGAAATAAGTAAATGGTTCAATCATTGTTTCAGCATCGAATTCATAATTAAGTGGATCAAAAGCTGTTTCACGAGAATAAATATTAGTATTTTCCATAATGAAAGATGATACTGGTTTCATAAGAGTTTTATTACTAGTACCCGAATAATGATACATTATATGATAGTAATAGATATTAGATATGTTCGTCGAATAAAAGTATTAAAAATTCAAAATGAATGAAAATCGAAAGGATAATAAAAATATGCTATGAATCTCTAATTCTCTCTCTCTCTCTCTCTCTCTCTTTCCTTATTGATACATGTGTATTGGACGAGAAAGACAAAAAAAAGAGAAAAATCGAATGGGAGAAGACCTGGATATAGTAGAAAATTACGTTAGTGAGTGAACTGACCGTATATTGAATAGTAAAAAAAAAACGCACGTGTCATGATGAATCAAACTCGTTCATTCATAGGATAGTGAGAGACAAAATGATGTTCGCCGATAATGGTCGGCGGCATTAACGAATATAATGTCCTCGTAGAAATACTGTACTTAAATGACGTTATAACAATGATAATATATCTTTATTCAAAAAAGTAGAACAAAACACTTCGATGTGTTCACTTAAGAACAAGTCAAGATGCTTCACTAATGTATTTTCAAAATTTTTCTTTGACTAAATAATATTTCAATAAAATAATGTTTAAATGATTTCGATTATTTTATGTTCTTAATTTATCGAAATCAAAAAGAATTCATTTTTGTTAACGAAAAATATATAGCACAGCAGTATTCTAAATGAATTGATGGATTGCTTGAGGCGTAACAATCAACTTGTTATTTTTCAATCCATCACCTACAATTAGAATTCATTTTGTTTTTTTTTTCTGCTTCATTAATAAATCACAATGTGAATCATACATTTGTCCGTGATACTACAAAGTTTTAAAAGCTTGTAAAAAAAAATCTACACAACTGTTAAATGATATTTTCATCCTCATTATAGTTTCCTACAATCAAATCCTTACAGTCTTTTTTTTCTTTATAATTCATTCAGTTTTTCATTAAATAATAAATTGTCAATTAATGAATCCTTTCAATCGATTCTAATTAACAAAAAAATCAATAAAATAAATTACATATACCTCAATAAATCCATTCGTAACAATGTTCATTTACGAAGGAAGTCCTCCAACTGATAAATCGCTTTTGAGTCGAGATGGCGTACATTATATAGATTCAAATGAACTATGAATACTTGAATACTATTGATTTTGCCAAAAGAAAAAATAGCAAATCGAAAAAATGTTACAGAGATTTATAGCGATAAAAAAGAGTGTGTGGATGTAACTGGAGATAAGATTCACACTCACATTCATACCCACTTTAAAAATATTTATTTTTGAGTTTCGTAATAAGATCAATTTTAGCGAATAGTCATATAGATTTTATTTTCATCACTTTTTCAAAAGAGCATAAAAAACCTAAAACATCAGAATTATTCGATAAAACAGAACGATTTCGGAAAAAAAGTAGGACCGTTGCAAATGATTATGAATCGTAGATTTCAATTACTTTTATTGTTTGATTATAGTCTGAACAAGTTTATTTTAGACGAAAATAAATAAACAAAAAAAAAAAAAAACGAAGATATAAATTGAACGACATGAATAATTTTAGCAAGAAGAGACTAATTATCATTTCGATTCATTATTATTTGTATGTATTTCTTCATTTATTGAAAAATCTGAAGGAAGATATTGTAAATTATGTTTTCTACTTTTCATTTTTTGATTAACTACTACATTATTATATTCATTTCTTTTATCTTGATTAGTTGATATACTGACTTCAGTCGGATGTTGACTTTGTTGAGCTTCAGCTATTTCTTCTATATTAGTTAATATTTTTGGTTTATGAGGTGGTTTAGAAGGTAAAACAATTAATTCATAAGGACCTTCAATATTTTCTATCCACATATTAATTGTATTCAATTTATCTTTTGTTATATTTTTATTTGTTTTAATTTTTGATTTTATTTTTGGCCGAAATAGACCACAACATGCCATGATAATAAAACAAAGATTTTCATGATTGAATCATAAATAAAATAGTTTGCAAGAATTTGCAATTAGAACAATCAATCATTTTAGTTTGTTGTTAAATATTTGTTTCAGCGCCACTATTAAAATGATTAACATGATTTGTGATATTCATTACGTTTATGAAAGAAATCATTTCTTTTTTTTACATTATCTTATGAATTTATATTATTTAATTTCGAATCAGTGACGCTGATGGTCAGTGAATTGAAACTGCACATCCCTTATTTAATAGTTTTTCCTAATTTAATAATATTCTCGAAAAGAAATTTTACAATCTCACTTGAATAATATACTGTAGTTCAAACTTGTTTGTTATCTTTAATAAATTAATGATTATGACATATAAATATTTCCTCTTTGATTAAAAAACAATATCCTATTGATGATCCATCGTATCAATTCAATAGAAGTACTGTTTGCATTTAAGATAACAATTATTACTTCCTCTAATTTCGCTATTAGAATTATTGATGACAACGAATAAATAGGGTTATGACTATCATTATGTTATTTTCTATCAAATACTAATGATTAATTCTTAAAGCATCTTATTCTCTATTTTATTGTTTTGCATATGTTATTCTAACTAAAACTCAGAAGAGACAATCACGAAATTGTCTATACGTTGGACTGAATCGATCAAAGGACAAGAATTTCAAGATTCCTATGAAGCTTATACAAATAAAAATCTTGAATAATGGATGATCGTAAAGTTTTTAAACAAGATGTTTGTTCATTTTTGATCTACTACAAAATGTTTTCAATAAGTTAGAATCAGAATTTTGTTCATAAACTACTTTGAACAGAAAATTTTAGTATTTTAACTATTGCACTGCGAAACTAAAAGTTGAGATCTTTATTTATATATCAGCTTGTAGGCTAGAAACGACTCTACAAAATGCATTATTTAAAAATTTATCGAATACTTTGAATACAAATGATTGTTTTATTTTATAATTTTATGAAACACGTTCTATCTAATAGTTCATCTTATGACATGAAATTCTTTTGTTTTTGTTCATTCTTTCACTTCATATGCTCTTCCCCCGGAAAGGTCTAATATCTTATTATTCAGGAAAAAGAAGAAGAAAATATTTGCAAAAATAAATAAGGCGTGCATCCTTTTCCCTTTTATACATTCTGTTTGTATATATATATAGTTATATAATGTGAACAAAAAGTTTTTCATTGTTATTTCACAAATTTTTTTGTATCCATCATGCATATATCACATTATATCTATGTCTCAAATATCTCATAATTCTTCCATAAGTTAACAAAAAAGAGAAAATTAAGAAAATAATTTTTATTTAGAAAGAAGATGGACGAATAGATTATTATACTTCAATTTCTCCTGAATATCGATTTGGTTTGTAATCATGTTTTATTTCAATAATAAATAATTTTTTTTTTCTTATAGAAAAACCAGCAATTGAAAAATTAATTCAAGAATATCTAGAAAGTATTGATAGTTCATTAACACATTATAATTCATTATCATCTATTACATCTCTTATGAGCATTTATATATATGAATAGTTGATATCATTCTATTTTTCATTGAGACAGAAAATGATAATAAGGCTATGACATGTACATCTAGTCAACAAATACAAACTCCTACTCGAACCATTCAACATTATCAGTCAGCTCCATCGTTTTATTATGCACCAATAACGTCAGGTAGTGATTCAAATGATTTTCAACATCATGCTTCAACACCTTTACTTTGGTAATAAATGAAAACAAAGGTTTAATATGATAAGAAGTTTTTTGTTCATATTAAAAGACCACATTTAACTTGATCTTATCGTTCATCATCTATAGCAACTGATAGAATTAAAAATACACTATGTAGTCAAGTATCAATTTCATCATATCAAAATATTCCAATAGTTGATCGATTTGTAAGTTATTAAAGTTCTTTTTTTAAAAAATATTAAAAAATGTTTATTATTAAGTTAATGTTTTGTTGAATATATATATCTCATAAAGTAGATTATAGGCAAGATGGTCCCGATGCCAATCCTTTTTTTTTTATTGAGAATGATATCATTTATACTCGCATAAAACTTGTGTTAAATTTCATATTCTCATTCTAAAAGTTTATGTGAAAATTATTGAGTGACAATAACTTCAATATTTGCTACTTCAATTTTGATAGTAAAATTTCGTAAACAATAGAATTGTCGAAACACATTAACATGCAGAATACACGAAGTATTAATAAATTTAAAAAAGTGATGAATCTCCAAGATGTCTCGAGCGCATTGGCATTGCTAAAAAATCATATCACATTTTTCGCTAGCACATATATTACTAAGTATGAAGCCAGAACCAAAAACGGATTAGTCCTGCTCATCACTAATCACGAGAAAACTACCCAAACTGATACCTACTGTTCGAACTCATAATGAGCTCACAAGGAAGTCTTGGTAAGACTAGAAAAAGTTTAAAATGATTCATGCCTATGGTTCTTTGAAGCCGAGTTATGACCATCTTACTAAACTTTCGATCAATTTTGTGGTATTTACTGAAGAATACAAAAAACCAGAATTTCAACCTGAAATTCAGTCCATAGATAGATCTAATGATCCTTAGAATAGCCTGAAAGTTTCAGCGAAAAAGAATATTCTTCTACAGAGATATTGAATTTTTCAAAAACAGTCGTTTGTGACAGATTTCCTACAAAGATCGAGTTTACTTGCAAATTCAATATCTCGACGGAAGATCATTCTTTTCGGCTGAAACTTTCAGGATATTCTCAAAGTGATCAGTGAATTCCATTAATTAGTTTTTCGGTAAATATCTAAAGCTCCAGAGGGCTATGGACACGAATTCTTATAAGCTTTTCTAGTCTTATCGAAGTTTTCTTGTGAACTCCAAACGGTGGATTTCACTTTAGATAGTTCCTCTATTAGAGAGTTCTGTTTTTCTTTATTAAAGGACATTTTGGTAAAGTTCAACCAGATTTGCTATGGACATCACCATTACCTGTTCGACCACGAATATTTTCTATGAGACCACCATCATTGTCTTGTAAGATATTTCTCGGTGGTATTCCACATGATCTTAATCCTAGTGAGTGCGTTTCTTTTTTTTCATAAAAAAGATTTTGTTTGTATTGAAATTTAAATAGGAGATTTACAAGAATGTTTAGAAAGCTTTGAATTAGTTCGACTAGAATGGCCCGATATGGGTAATATGTCCATGCATAGATATTCATCAAATAGTATGAGAAATTTTTATTTTGAATAATTTTGTTAAATTGAAAGTTTGTTTTTAAAAAATTAGTTACGATTGGTTTTGCTTATACTGTTTATGAAACTGAAGAATCTATTCATGAAATCTTACATATATGTTCAACAAAAACTGATCGATCATTAGATGATGGTCGATGTGAATATTATCTTGATGTTTATAATCAACGAACAATTTCACGAAGAAAAAGTGTAGAAAAATATTTTCTTTGGCAATACAAAATAAAATTTTCTTTTTCTAGATTTAAATGATTCCGTAGTTTGTAGTAAGTATTCTATATGAGAATTAAATTTAAAGAATATTTTTGTTATCATTTAGGAAGATTCACAATGGCTACCTGAAGGTAATAGCTATGGAAGTTGGAAACAACGACTTGACTCTAATGAATGTCTTAATCGAACAGTATTTGTTGGTGCTTTACACGGAATGATGACTGCTTATGCAGTGGCTCGAATATGTCACGAATTATTCGAAGATATAGAATATGCAGCTCTCGATACTGATAGAAAAATAACATAAAGGAAATTGGTAGTGTTAATTAATATTCTTCTAACTTGAAAATTATCGAAACAACCAAATCAATATATAGTAAAAATATTCTTATAACAAAACAAACAAAAAAATAAAATTTAATCAAGGTAGCACATGTCCTGCTTGACAACTACCATCAAACCACCATTTATGTATATTACCAATAATATTTGGTTTTGAATCAAGATGAAGACGTAAACAAAGATCACAAAATGGAGTAAAAAATTGACTTAAACCCCATACATAATCTTTTTTCCATGAAAAATATGATAAATATTTTTCTTTATCATAACGAGTTTGATTGAGATATCGTGCTAAGGAACTCATAGTAGAAAATTGATTTGTATCAATATATCCAGATGGTGGAATAAAATGGGAATAATTTGTTCGTCCTAATACAACTGGTACAACTGGATATTCAAGTGTAGCAAAAAATTTCTCAGCTAGAAAAAAATAAAATAATTCTTGTTTTTTTTTTCTATGAAAATCTATTTAGTAAGATGCATTCAAAGCAAAGCATAAACAAAGGTTTTGATACTAATATTTTTACATAATCAAATCGAACTTATCGAGCTATCACCTTCAAAAACTGAACATTTTTCAAGAAATTTCAATATCACATTCATTGAGAATAATGACAAATCTTTGAAAGTAATTTATTCGGATTTAGCGTCAATACTGAGTAGAACTATGTGGTTTTTGAGTTAGTTGCATATGTTGAAGTTTGAACAGTTTCGATGGAATTCGTTCACAATGAACTGTACTACCAGCATAATCATTAGTTTTAAGCTAATGTGTATGTGTTCAGAAAAAATGCATACAGATCTTTTTGCGAAAATAAATACCTTCTCAGGCTTAGAAGAAATACTTCGTCGAACAAATTTCGGGGTATATACCTATACATATATTGTCTTCAATTACGAATGCATGGTTTTGTGATAAAAAAGTTTCTGAACTTCTAGAAGATATTGAATATGTTCAGTTTTCATAAAGAGAATCTAAATTTTTTTTCAGATTATACTGCGAACGAGCATCGAAATGACTCCACAAATAGATTGTTCTTTCCTATTAGCTATTTGGTCAAGATTTTTCTAACTCGGGACTGACACATCGCTATGAAGATTATTGTCCATATTGAGCTTACATATTATTATAGAACAAAAGTACTAAAAGAATTAATAAGTGACAGAAGTTGTTTAAAAAAAAATCGATTCTCAAAGAGGGGGGGGGGGGGGAAAAATCTTCCAATGTGTCAGAGACTTTATGACATTTGAAATCAGCATACAAAACTGCATCAATAAGCATATATTCAATCAAAGCATCGAAATTCAAACATTGAAATATGAATGCAGCTTTTTAACCGTTTTTCATCAATTTCGAAAGAATTGATTTTTCTCAGCAAGGAAAACAATATTTTTCCAAATCCACAACAACTTTCTTTCACCTTCACTTGACTGTTCGTCAGATGACGTGTAAACAGTTTTTGATGCTAAATATGAATAAATTACTTTCAAAGATTTATGATCATTCTCAATGAACGAGATGTTGAAATTTCTTGAAAAATGTTCAGTTTTTGAAGGTGGTACCTCGGTACATTCTATCCAATCATGTCAAAATATTTGGATGTCAAAATTTTTACTCATGTTTTGCTTTTCGATGTATCTTAACTTACTTGTATACTCTAGACAAAGACTATTTTCAAAGCTAAGAAGAAAATAATAATTTTCAGCTATAAATTCTCGACAATCCATATTTGATGGACATGATTCTCCACATCGTCCATAAACTTTGACATCAATATAACGTTTTAATTCTTGTATAAATGGTAATCGTTGACTAGGAGCACCACAGTTTGATATTAAAGCAGCAGCTATACCTAATTTTTTCTTTTGTAATATTTCATCAGATGGTCGATAATCAACTTTTCTTATTTTCCAATTAAGTTTACGTGTAGAATTTTCATTTAACATTAATCGATAAAAAGGACTTGATTTATGAATATATCCATATTGAGAATAATATGATGTTATTATATGAGAATTAAATCGATAAGTCATTGTCCAATTAAAAAATTGATTAAAAGATTCTAAATTGCGTGTATGGGCTGGTGATTCCCATAAAGTAAATACAAAACGTTGTTTGGAATGACGTTTTTTCTTAGCTAGATCTTGATCGAAATCATCCACCATATGATAAACAATAGCATCTGCTTCTGAAAAACGATTATAATCAGTTGTTATATCACAATGATTAGATAAAAATGGACAATAGAGTGCAGTCACTGAAAATAAATAAATTTGATTCATGAAACATATGTATATATACACTATAGTTTTTACTTTTTTCTGTCGATGATTCATTTAATGGACCCAAACGCCAATGTCGATCACCAAAAAATCCATTTCCTAATAAAATAAGTTTGCTTGTATTGCCTATGAGTGATAAATTTTGAGTAAAAATATGAATAGGTAAATGAGGATAATAATCAAAAAAACGAGTTTCAAATTGATTTGTTATAGATGGTAATTCAAATATTGAATTATTTCCTTGATTTATTATTAGAGAATTTTTTGTAGATGAGTTAACAATGTTAAATGAAGGTATGAAAGATATTGTTAATGATTCTAATGTATCACTATAACCATTGGTAAATAATAAATAAAATAAATATACACATAGAACAAGTAAACAAAAATATTTCAGAAACTGTTGATATTCCATGTCGACGCGTCTGTTGAAGACAAAATAAAAGTTATATTATAATAAATAATTTTATCTATAAAACAACAAGATAAACTATAAAAATGATTAAGAAACTATTTTTTTGTTCATGGAAATTAATGTTCTCTTTCATTTTTTCTAAGATG